CTGTCAATACTAGACAGATCAACCAGACAGAAAATCAACAAGGATATCCAGGGCTTGAACTCAGACCTGGAGCAAGCAAACCTGATAGACATTTACAGAACTCTCCACCCCAAATCCACAGAATACACATTCTTCTCAGCACCACATCACACCTACTCTAAAATTGACCACATAATTGGAAGTAAAGCACTGCTCAACAAATGCAAAACAACTGAAATCATAACAAACAGCCTCTCAGACCATAGTGCAATCAAGTTAGAACTCAGAATTCAGAAACCGACCCAGAACTGCACAGCTTCATGGAAACTGAACAACTGGCTCTTGAATGTTGACTGGGTAAACAATGAAATGAAGGCAGAAATAAAGAAGTTCTTCGAAACCAATGAGAACGAAGACACAACGTGCCAGAACCTCTGGGACACATTTAAAGCAGTCTCTAGAGGAAAGTATATAGCAATAAGTGCCCATATGAGGAGAATGGAGAGATCCAAAATTGACACCCTATCGTCAAAATTGAAAGAGCTAGAGGAGCAAGATCAAAAAAACTCAAAACCCAGCAGAACACAAGAAATAACTAAGATCAGAGCTGAACTGAAGGAGATTGAGACACGAAAAACCCTTCAAAAAATCAATAAATCCAAGAGCTGGTTTTTTGAAAAGATCAACAAAATAGACCACTAGCCAGATTGATTAAAAAGAAAAGAGAGAACAACCAAATAGATGCAATAAAAAATGATAAAGGGGAAATCACCACAGATTCCACAGAAATTCAAACCATCATCAGAGAATATTACAAACAACTCGATGCGCATAAACGAGTAAACCTGGAAGAAATGGATAAATTCCTGGACTCCTGTGTCCTCCCAAGCCTAAACCAGGAGGAAGCTGAAACTATGAATAGACCAATAACAAGGTCTGAAGTTGAGGCAGCAATTAACAGCCTACCACACAAAAAAAGCCCAGGTCCAGACGGGTTCACAGCCGAATTCTACCAGACACACAAGGAGGAGCTGGTACCATTCCTTCTAAAACTATTTCAAACAATCCAAAAAGAGGGAATCCTTCCCAAATCATTTTATGAGACCAACATCATCCTGATACCAAAACCCGGCAGAGACCCAACGAGAAAAGAAAACTTCAGGCCAATATCCATGATGAACATAGATGCAAAAGTCTTCAATAAAATATTGGCAAGCCGATTGCAACAGCAAATCAAAAAACTTATCCATCATGATCAAGTAGGATTCATCCCAGGGATGCAAGGCTGGTTCAACATACGCAAGTCTATCAACGTAATTCACCACATAAACAGAACCAAAAACAAAAACCACATGATTATCTCAATTGACGCAGAGAAGGCATTTGACAAAATTCAACAGCCCTTTATGCTAAAAACCCTCAATAAACTCGGTATCGATGGAACGTATCTCAAAGTAATAAAAGCTATTTACGACAAACCAACAGCCAATATCATACTGAATGGGCAAAAACTGGAAGCATTCCCTTTGAAATCTGGCACTAGACAAGGATGCCCTCTGTCACCACTCCTATTCATTATAGTACTGGCAGTTCTAGCCAGAGCAATCAGGCAAGAAAAAGAAATAGAGGGTATTCAAATAGGAAAGTGGAAGCCAAATTGTCTCTATTTGCAGACGACATGATAGTATACCTAGAAGACCCCATTGCCTTTGCCCAAAAACTCCTGAAACTGATAAGCAACTTCAGCAAAGTCTCAGGATATAAAGTCAATGTGCAAAAATCACAAGCAATCGTCTACACCAATAACAGACTTAAAGAAAGCCAAATCAAGAGTGAACTGCCATTTGCAATTGCTACAAAAAGAATAAAATACCTTGGAATACAACTCACAAGGAACGTAAGAGACCTCTTCAAGGAGAACTACAAACCACTGCTCAACGAAATCAGAGAGGACACAAACAGATGGAGAAACATTCCATGTTCATGGTTAGGAAGAATTAATATCGTGAAAATGGCTATACTGCCCAAAGTAATTTACAGAATCAATGCTATCCCCATCAAGCTACCATTGACTTTCTTCACAGAACTGGAAAAAACCACCATGAACTTCATATGGAACCAAAAGAGAGCCCGCATAGCCAAGTCAATTCTAAGCAAAAAGAACACAGTGGGGGTATCACACTACCGGATTTCAAACTACACTACAAGGCTACAGTAATCAAAACAGCATGGTACTGGTACCAAAACAGAGATATAGACCAATGGAACAAAACAGGGGCACCGGAGGCAACACAACATACATACAACTATACAATCTTTGATAAACCTGACAAAAACAAGCAATGGGGAAAGGATTCCCTGTTTAACAAATGGTGTTGGGAAAACTGGCTAGCCATGTGCAGAAAGCAGAAACTGGACCCCTTCCTGACACATTACACTAAAATTAACTCCAGATGGATTAAAGACTTAAACATAAGACCTGGCACCATAAAAACCCTAGAAGGAAATCTAGGCAAAACCATCCAGGACATAGGAGTAGGCAAGGACTTCATGAACAAAACACCAAAAGCATTGGCAACAAAAGCCAAAATAGACAAATGGGACCTAATCAAACTCCACAGCTTCTGCACGGCAAAAGAAACAGTCACTAGAGTGGATCGGCAACCAACAGAATGGGAAAAAATTTTCGCAGTCTATCCATCTGACAAAGGGCTGATATCCAGAATTTACAAAGAACTCAAACAGATTTACAGGAAGAAAACAAACAAGCCCATTCAAAAGTGGGCAAAGGACATGAACAGATACTTTACGAAAGAAGACATATATGAGGCCAACAATCATATGAAAAAATGCTCATCGTCACTGGTCATCAGAGAGATGCAAATCAAAACCACATTGAGATACCATCTCACGCCAGTTAGAATGGCGATCATTAAAAAATCTGGAGACAACAGATGCTGGAGAGGATGTGGAGAAAAAGGAACACTTTTACACTGTTGGTGGGAGTGTAAATTAGTTCAACCATTGTGGAAGACAGTGTGGCGATTCCTCAAGGCCTTAGAAATAGAAATTCCATTTGACCCAGCAATCCCATTACTGGGTATATATCCAAAAGACTATAAATCGTTCTACTATAAGGACACATGTACACGAATGTTCATTGCAGCACTGTTTACAATAGCAAAGACCTGGAATCAACCCAAATGCCCATTGATAATAGACTGGATTGGAAAAATGTGGCACATATACACCATGGAATATTATGCAGCAATCAGAAATGATGAGTTTGTGTCGTTTGTAGGGACATGGATGAATCTGGAGAACATCATCCTCAGCAAACTGACACAAGAACAGAAAATGAAACACCGCATATTCTCACTCATAGGTGGGTGATGAAAAATGAGAACACATGGACATAGAAAGGGGAGTACTAAACACTGGGGTCTATTGAAGGGAAAAGGGGAGGGCCAGTGGGAGGGGGCGGTGGGGAGGGATAGCCTGGGGAGAAATGCCAAATGTGGGTGAAGGGGAGAAGAAAAGCAAAGCACACTGCCATGTGTGTACCTACCCAACTGTCTTGCATGCTCTGCTCATGTACCCCAAAACCTATAATCCAATAAAAAATTAAAAAAAAAAAAAATAAAATAAATAAATAAATCTTAAGAAATTTTCTTACACATTTTCTCCTCAAATAAATTACCCAAAAAATGAAAAAAAAATTAAAAATATGTAAAACAAAAATCCGGGTGGGCACAGTGGTTCATGCCTGTAATCTCAGCTCTTTGGGAGGCCAAGGCAGGTGGATCACAAGGTCTGGAGTTTGAGACCAGCCTGGCCAACATGGTGAAACCCTGTCTCTACTAAAAATACAAAAATTAGCCAGGCATCATGGGGCAGGACTATAATCCCAGCTACTCGGGAGGCTGAGGCAGAATTGCTTGAACCTGGGAGGTGGAGGCTGCAGTGAGCCGAGATCATGCCACCACACTCCAGCAACAAAAACAAAACAAAAAAAAACCCAACACATTATAAGTGCTCAAAATGTATAGTAAACTGTAACAATATTATGAAACAACATCATGATGTAAACCACTTATTCTCATGTTATCATACAGATACTGTGTGGTGCTGAGAGCATGCATCCTGCCTGGCATTTGACTGTGATGTACATGTACTGTAGCAATATAGTGGTTAGTACAATTTCAAGAGAGCTGAGAAGTGTCAATTTAAAGAAAACTAGAGGAAGATTATACTCTTCTAACTGACACTGACAAGAACATTAAATATATTTGTGGCTAGATAAGCTTTATTCAAATGCCTGCATAAGTTGATGTCAGAGAGATTTTTCTAAAGGCTTAAAATTTATTAAACAGGCAGGGAGCGGTGGCTCACATCTGTAATCCCAGCACTTTGGGAAGCTGAGGCAGGTGGATCACTTGAGGTCAGGAGTTCGAGACCAGCCTGGCCAACACAGTGAAACCCCATCTCTACAAAAATACAAAAATTAGCCAGGCATGATGGTAGATGCCTGTAATCCCAACTACTCAGGAGGCTGAGGCAGGAGAATTGGTTGAACCCAGGAGGCAGAAGTTGCAGTGAGCTGAGATTGCACTATTGCACTCCAGCCTGGGCAACAAAGAGAGAGTCTGTCTTGAGGGGAGAAAATTATTAAACAATAGAACTTGGTATTTCTCTTTAATCTGTCTCTGAACTCAGGTGACTGACACATCATTATTAGTAGTCTCCCCTCACTAATCATTTTCACCACATACAGATCTCACATCTTTGGGTGACACTTTCCATGTCTCTGGAAATCTTTTAAATTGCTCTCAGTTACAACAGAAGGGCAAGGTTTTCATCTGGTCATATTCTATTCCATCAGAGGCAAAAACCACATTCCTCACTTATCTTGCTTAAATTGTGCCTGTCTGCAAACAGTATACAAACAAAGAACTTATTGTTAACACATAAAAAGTACAGTATAATCTCTATGCTATAGGAGTAACTCCATTTTCATTGAATAATTATTTTTATTTTTATTATCTCTCTAAAAAGAAACTACAAAAATTCATGTAAAAGCATCGAAAAAGTACTTTAAAATCCTGAACTGATATGATACATCTTCTATGATTTACAAGAGTAAAATGTTAAATTCTACAAGTTAGAATTTCTGAATTGATTGTGAAAGGAATTGACTAGAAGGAACCAGAACATCAAAGCTTACAGATCTTCTATTCATCCCCAGTTAAGTTTCTGAAAAGCTCCTCATCTGTTGACAAGCACAGACCACTGAGTCACTTGATGCTGCCACTAATGGTGAGGCTACTCTGAAGGGCAGAGGTCTATGCTGGATATGCCCAGCCTTCCATGGAACTGATCCAAGTGGTCTCTTATTTTTTCCCTTATGTGTAAAATAAAAGTACAAATGTACATATGGCAAAAAATGCAAATAGTACAGACAGATCTAAAATAATAAGTACATATCCTTTTCTCCCATACCACAACAAATACGATGGTTTCAAAATCCCAAAATGTGAGTAACTCACAAACTAAAGTCAACCTTGGAGTCTCTTTATCTGAAAATTATTTTCAGGCCTTAGGAACGATGTCGATTGTCTCATATATTACCTGTGTTACAGAGGAAAGTCATGCAGTCTTCTCCTTCTCCAAAAAAGAAAAAAAAGTTTAAAGCAACATGCACACACCGTTCAGAGACGGCAAAGTCCAGACAGCATCGCAGACTCCACTGGGTCTAGTCATGGCTCCAGAGAGTCCCTGGCATCAATCCCCCCGGCTGAGCAGGAAATACTGACAAATACACTGGGCACAGGAGCTCAGCCGAGTCCTCCCTCAATGCCCCGGATCCTCCGGTCCAGCTGCACATCCTTTGGGAAGAGAGTAACTCGGCCGGCATGTAAGGTGAGGAGACAGGCATCCACAAAGGGATGAACTAGAAAAGCTTCTATGAACTAGAAATGCTTCTGCCACCTCTTGTAGGGCCAATAGGGCCTGGGCTTGCCAATTGAAGTCCACACCACGAGTGAATTTAACACATATTTCTCTTGCCAGGCGGCTGAAGGGGTACTTCCTTAACAAGAGGTGTGTGCTCTTCTGAAGCTTTCGGATCTCCTTTAGCCAACCTTGCCTTCGATAACCACGTGGACGTAAGGAAGCACCTAAGAAAGGGCTCTGCTGGAACGGGCTGGGGGTCGGGGTCGGGCTCGGGCTGCGCCTCCTCGGGGCATTGAGCTTGCGTCTCCGGCGGCGCAGGCCCATGGCGCGCCGCGGAGGGTGCTGGCGCCCGGCCCCACGGTTGCTGCTTGGGCTGCCGGGTCCAGGGGCAAAAGGCTGGAGTCTGGGTAGGCCGGGAGAACCCTGGGCCGCGAGCCTCAGAGGAGCCGGTGCTTAGCCGCGGTCCTCGCCGCTCGCGTTCAAATCCAAGATTTTCTACCCTGATAAAAGAAATAGCCATATAGAAGGTCCTTTATCCTCCTTATTTCTTAAATGGGGTATGTTCTATGAGGATGTGAAGCTCAGAACTGTGCACCAACTTGGCAACCACTGGGAAATCAGAGCCACACACTGAAGAATGCCGAGTGTAAGGAGCAAAGAGCCAGCATCTCTGACAACATTGTTATACTGAGATCCTACCTCCGGATTTTAAGCAAACAAGAAATGCTACTGATATTAAGCCATTTTCATGGGGCTCGCTATGGCATGCAGTCAAACCTATCTTAACTGATACAGAGTGCCACAGAGACCTGGTCTCTCGTTTGTCTCACCCTGTTCTTTCTAGCAGCCATCACTTTCCTAAGGTTTCCTTACCCTGGAATTACAAGTGTGAGCCCCTGCACCCAGCCTTCACCAAAGGAAGTTCTTATTATAACCTGATTTCCTGCATATTTGCCTTCAGGAAGAGGATATGCTGGCTAGAGGTGTTGAGTGTCAGATTTATTCTACCATTCTAACCCTGTTATAAAGTAAAACTGGCTCTCTATCTTATAATTTAGTCTTTTTGAATTTAGAATACTGTGAAGAGAATAGACTTCGGAATCAGGACTGGATTCAAATCTCATTTACTGTGTGATTTGGACTAGTCTCTTAATCTCTCAATATCAGTTTCCTTACCTGTAAAAATGAAGATAGTAATTACTATTAACACATCAAAGATTTGTAATATCAAATAAGATAAAATACAGAAGGAACTTAGCACAGTACCAGGGATTTATAGTGTTTGATTCATTCACTATTTTACTTAAGAGTAGCTGCTATGGCTTTTACTTAGTGACTATATCCCTGAGAATCTAATCCACAATCAAGTCAATTAAATCAAGTTCCCGAATCCACACTGAGGATTGGCTCAAGCAACCCTCCCACTGGGTGAAGGTAAATATTCCACAAACCATCAGATAAAGTTACTTGAAAAGCCAGTTAGCCATCCTTGGTGACTTCAACCCAGCCATGCTTATTTTCTTTTTGGGGTTGGGCGTGTGGTTCATAGAAATGGGGATCTCTCTATCCTCCCATGTTGGCTTCCCAAAGTGCTGGGATTATAGGCATGAACCACTGTAACCAGCCTGTATTTTTATTTTTACCATTGCATTTAGCAAAGTCTCTCATCATATTGTTGTAGACAAGATGGAGGCAAATGGACTATAAGAACTAACAGCAATATTGAATGGGCTTGTGGCTACTTATACATAGTATGGTTACTGTACTGAAGGGATCTTTAAAAGGAGAAAGCCCTATTCATTCAAAAGATATTTACTGAGTTTCTATTTGGTGCCAAGAACAATGGATATAGTGGCCTACCCTCAGTTTACGGACTAGCAGGGAGAAAGATAAGTAAATAATCCAGCTAATCACAATTCTTGAGAAAAGGATGCTTTGTCTGAGACTGAAGGATGATTAAGACTCACAAAGAGACCAGCCTGGCCAACATGGCAAAACCCATCTCTTTTGTAAATTTTTTTTTAACTACAAAAAAAAAATTACCTGGCCATGGTGGCAGGCTCCTGTAATCCCAGCTACTCAGGAGACTGAGGCACCAAAATCACTTGAACCCGGGAAGTGGAGGTTGCAGTGAGCTGAAATCACACCATTGTAGTCCAGCCTGGGCAACAGAGTGAGACATCATCTAAAAAAGAAAAAAAAAAAAAAACTGACCCAATTTAAAAATGGGCAAAGAATCTGAATCGTTATATACAAATGATCAATAAACACATGAAAAGATGCTCCACATCATTAGTCATCAAGGAAATACAAATAAAAACCAAATGAGATACCACTCCACACCCACTAGGATGGTTGTAATTTAAAGATGGACAATAACAAGTGTTGCGGAGGATGTGAAGAAACTGGAACCTTCATGCATTGCTGGTAGGAATTTAAGATGCTGCAGCTGCTTTGAAAAACAGTGTGGCAGCTCCTCAAATGGTTAAGCATAGAATTATCATATGACACAGTAATTCCTCTCATTAGGTATATATCCATGAGTATTGAAAACATATGGCTACACAAAAATGCACTTGTGAATGTTCACAGCAGCATTATACATAATAGCCAAAAACTGTAAAGAACCTAGATGTCCATCCACTGATGAAAGGTAAATAAAATGTTGTATATCCATATAATGGAATATTACCCAGTCATAAAAAGGAATGAAGTACTGACACATGCTATGTGGATAAACCTTGAAAACAATATACTAAGTGAAAGTGAAACTGATCCAATAGTTCCATAGACTGTTCTTTCAGATAAACACAGAAATTGACCCTTCTGGTCCTAAAGCTTAAAGCTTGTATTTGTTTTGCCAAATACAAGCTTTTTTGAGTTCCTTCCTTGGGAAAAGACCTTCAGGCCTCTCAAAAAAAGTATCAAAGAACTGAAACTCACCAAATCACCACATCCAGGCAATGAGACTGTTGGTCCATCAGGATTGCTTCCTTGCCCCTTCCTGGTTCCTGTTTTCTTATGCACTGTTACATTTCTTCCCTGCTTATCTAAACTCCCAGTTTTAGATCAGGGAGGTGGATTTGAGATTGAGCACCCATCTCCTTGGCCGTAGCACCTGATTAAAGCCTTCTTCCTCGGCAATACTTGTTATCTCAGTGATTGGCTTTCTGTGTGGTGAGCAGCAGGACCTACACCAAACCCATGATATTTTGGTAACAAAACAAGCCCATCAGAGACCAGAAATTGCATGATTTCATATATATGTAATGTCCAGAAGGAAAATCTATAGAGATGGAAAGTAGATGAGTGGTTTCTCGGGGCTGAGAAGAAGGGAGAATGGGGAGTGGCTGCTAATGAGTATAGGGTTTCTTTAGGGGGTGATGAAAATGTTTGAAAATTGAATAGTACAGTGTAAGTGGGAGAACTGTACAGTATGTGAATATCTCAATACAGCTATTAGAGTAAAAATAATAATAATTAACTAAGAGAAATTAGAAAAAAGGTTGGATTCCCAGACAGAGAGGAGTATGGAAAGGAAAAAACATGACTGGATGACAGTGAGGAAGGGTAGAGTAGTGTGAACTAAGGCTGAGAGAGTAAAATGCCAAGCTCTACATGGGCTTATAGGTCATTAGACTGAGAGCAATGAGAAACCATTAAAACCACCAGGACTGTCCAGGTGCGGTGACTCACACCTCTAATCCCAAAACTTTAGGAGATGGAGGCAGGTGGATCGCTTAAGCCAGGAGTTCAAGACTGGCCTGGGGCAACATCGCAAAACCTCGTCTCTACAAAAAATACAAAAATTAGCCAGATGGAGTGGCTGAGGTGGGAGAATTGCTTAAACCAGGGAGGTGGCGGTGCAGTGAGCTGAGATTGTGCCACTGCACTCCAGCCAGGCAATGGAGCCAGACCCTGTCTGAAAAAACAAAAACAAAAACAAAAAACACTACCAGGATGATGGAGAGCTACAGTGGATACCTTGATGAATGAGCTGAGAATTTTATTTGTTTGGAGACAAGGTCTTGCTCTGCCTCCCATGTTGGAGTGCGGTGGCATGACCACAGCTCATTTTTGGGCTCAAGTGATCCTCCCACCTCAGCCTCCCGAGTAGAAGGGATTGCAGGTATGTATCACCATGCCTGGTTAATTTTTTTTTTTTTTTTTTGGTAGAAATGGCGTCTTGCTATGTTACCCAAGCTGGTCTCAAACTCCTGGGCTCACGCAGTCCTCCTGCCTCAGCTTCACAAATTGCTGAGACTGATGACAGGAATGAGCCACCGTGCTTAGTAGAGTTGAGAATTTTTAAATCTGCCTAGCATTTTCTCCACATTTTGTGTCCTATAAAATAGATGTTCAAATATCCAAAGGATGGAGAAAAGGAGGCAGAACTGGCCTATGGTGCTCCAAAGGACTAGGACCACTGAGCAAAAAAGCTTAGTTCATTTTAAGTTTCCTAATAAGCAGTCCTCTCCAATAACAGCTCACCAACACCAGCAGTATTCCTGCAAAGGTGCAGTACCTACATGAGGTCCGTGGAATACTCCAGCACTAGGTGGGAGATCAGGCAAGATGACTTCTAAAACTGAGATGCGTTCAATCACCTAGATTCTCTGAAGACCAAAACAGAACCCCCTTCACTTTTCTGAAACTGTCTGTGAAGAAGTCCCTTTCTTAGTCACTTACAAAAATAATGACCAGTTTTCCTATTTTAAACATTTTATACACTATTGAAAATATCAAAATGCATACATCCAGAAACCCTGGCTCTCTTCCAAACTCCTTATTTCGGGCTAAAGAGAAGGGCTGCTACAGTGACTTCAAGCCCTGCTGAGTACCCAACTGGTGAGTTGAACCTGGCCAACAGGGGCCCAGACATGACTGTCCCTCTACCTGCTACCTCTCCAGCATCCATGGAAGAGGAACCTTCACACACAAGGAGCCAAGAGCATTTTCCAGACCTCTTCAAGAAACTGCGGAATAGATGAAACAGAAGAAACTTCAAAAGAAAAAAAATTTAGGATTAAAACAAGGGAATCAAGTGTCTCTAGGGACTCAGGACAACAAGGCCTGCCATCCACCATCCCTTTCTCCATTAGTCTTATGACATTATAGTCAGCTGATGAGGTGAAATCAAAAATATACCCTAAACAAGAGACTGCCCTGAAAGGAGTAAGGCAGTTTCTCAAAAAATTAAAAATAGAATTGCCTTTTGATCCAACAATACTACTTCTTGGTATATACCCAAAAGAATGAAAAGGAGAGCCTCAAAGAGTTATTTGTATGTTCACGCTCATAGCATTATTCACAATAGCCAAAAAGTGGAAGCAACTCAAGTGTCCGAGGGGGTGGAACCAACAAGCAAAATGTGCCGTGGCCACACAACAGAATGCTATTCCTCCTAAAAAAGAAAGGAATTTTTGACACACCCTACACATGGATGAACCTTGAAAACTTTATGCGAAGTGAAACAAACCAGTCACAGGACCCAACCAAAGCATTAGACTGTGGATCTAACAATAGAAGCCTGCAACTTCTTACCTACCCAGAAAGTATGCAAGAACTGCTAACTCATGCCCCCACGTCTAACTAAATACTGCATGATTCTGCTTATATGGCAGGTACAGTTGTCAAATCCATAGAGACAATAACTAGAATAATGGTTGCCTGGGGCTGGGGGAGGGAGGAGAGGAGTGTGTACGTGATGGGTACAGGGAAAGTTGGGAAAGTTGAAAAAGTTCTGGAAAGGACCTTAGTGATGGTTGTGCCACAATGTGAAAGGTACTTAATACCACTAAACTGCATATTTTTGGAAAATGTAACTCTTCAAAATAGTTAAAATGGTATATATGTTGTGTACATTTTACAAATATTAAAAATAGAGTATAAAAAATAAAAGGAGCCACCCTGCAGTACTAAGAACTAGGAGCCTTTGGATGCATAAAACCCCTAACCAGGAGACATATGTCCTCTTCATACTATTTTTTCATAGCTCCTGTGAGTCTGAAACTCTGGAAGGACGAAATCAGGTAGCTGCCCCAGGAGCCTGGGAGGACCGCCCAGTCTCTCCGCCCAGGGACTCCCGGTGCGCCAACCCGCTGCGGGCTTAAACGTAACTGACCCAGTAACCGCCCTCCTGGCTGACTGCCCCTCAGAAAGCCCCACGCCCCCTCAGAGGCCGGCGGTGCCGCAACCCGTGGGAGCCGCTTTCAATGCCTAAGTGCGCTGCACGTACTTCCAATCAAAGGGTCCCAAGGTCAGGCTCTCAGGGCCAGAGCCAACCGCAAAGAGCCTATTGCCTGTTGTCCCGCCCTCCCGTGCTTCCGATTAGCGAGTTTCAAACTCGCAGGAGCCAATGAGAACGCGCGAACGCGCGGCGCAAGTTCTTGGCTCCCGGCGCAGCGTTTGAAGAAAAACTGTCACCAAGAGTCATGGTGGGGCCCCGGCCAGCCGCCGCTGCTGCAGTCGGTGAGTACGACCGCGAACGAGCCCCGTTATTTCAGGCGTTGGAGCACGGCCGGGGAGTAGGAGGCCACCGTGCCGGTCCGCTCGCCTGCCTCAGTCTACCCCGGGGCGTTTTCCATCCTGGGAGCGCCACGCGAGCCCCGGCCCCCAAGGAGACGTCTGGGCTTGGGGCGGCGGAGGCTGTGCGCAGGCCAGATGCCTCACGGGCATCTTTCCAGAAAGCCCTCCGGCAGCCCCGCAAAGAGATGTCACTGTCACCACGTTCTAGATAAAGAAACTGAGGCCCCTTGCTCGGGCTTTTACCACCAGTGGGAAGCAGCACGCGGCTTTGATCCACATTTGGCTCCAGGTAGAGCCGGGCGTGGTCTTATATGACCAGAGACAGGGTCCGGCCCGAACCCGGGTCTCCTGCCTCTGGCGGAGCTCTCCACACCTCTCAGCCTGCTGTGGCTAGAAGTCGATTGGTTAAATCTGCACCCAGAGCTAAGGCTCCTGGGTTCCCTGATCTCTTAGATGTGCTTGGAACCCTTTCCTACCTTTCAAAACTCCTGCTCAGATACCACCTTCTTCAAGAAACGCACGTTGTTTTGTTTCATCCTTTATTCCTGTTGATGTCTACGAGGTCCTGAGCACAGACCTAGGCACTTTACATAACAAGCTTTAAAGATGGGCATTTCTGTCCGCTTTATAGGCTCAGCAGCAACAAAGTTTGCTAATTTGCCAGAAGTCGCGGAGGTGGGACTCCAACTCCCTATGTCAGCCCCTCTGCTCTACACTGCCTGGCAAGCCGTCTCTAAGGATACATGAGCATCAGAGATCAAAACAGGGCAATTGCGTTCAGATGAGGTTAAGAGTCGTTTGGCGCCCCTGTCGTCGTCTTGTTTTTTTTTTTTTCATTCCTTCACATCATTATTTAATTTTAACTTACCAGCCACCTGCTCCCCTCACTCATGCCCCACCTCTGAACTCCCATTCTTCTTTATCCTCTTTATGGCCCTTAGATATTACCTTATATTGTAATTATTGCTGTGTTTATTTTATCTCCATTACTAGTTTGAAACTTCTTGAAGGCAGAAATCATTGGCTTGCCATCCCCTCACAAATGGCTTGCATAGAAAGTCACCATAGTATAGGTGTCTGCTGTGAGCAGACAACCTGGCATATTTTATCCTTAGTACCAACAAAGGAAGCCATATAAGGGTTTGTGGGTAAAAATCATCATCCCTGTCAAAAAAACATAAGACCAGGCCTTGCTCACCAGCTCAGATGGGCCAATAACGGAAGTTCTTCAAATCATAGGAGGTTGTAGCTGAGAACAGTGGCTGTGAGCTCTAAGATTAGATAATAAGACTGTTTTCAAGTCCTGGAATTGCCACATATTAACTGGGTAACTTTGGGCATGACATTTACGCTCTCTGAATTTCAGGTTGCAAAAACTCACTGGATTTTTTGTGGATTGAAAGAAGTAATGTAAATTTAGGCCAAGTGCTTTGGCTCATGCCTGTAATCCCAGCACTTTGGGAGGCCAAAGCAGGAGGATCACTTGAGCTCAGGAATTTGAGACCAGCCCTGACAACATAGTAAGATCCTGTCTCCACAAAAAAAAACAAAAGTTTTTTTTCAATTATCCAGCATAGTAGTACCAACCTGTAGTGCCAGCTACTCAGGAGACTGAGGTGGGAGGATTGCTAAAACCTGCAAGATCAAGGCAACAGTGAGCCATGGTTGTGGCACTGCACTCCAGCCTCAGTGACAGAAGGAGACCCTGTCTCAAAAAAACTAGTAAGTTTAAAGAGCTTAGTGTAGGCCTGGCACATAAATGATATTGTCAATGTTGATATTAACTTGAGGGCAAATGTATAGGACTAGGGATTTTATAACATTTTGTAGCAAAGCCAAAATCACTAGAGAAAAGTGCCATCTTTTAGAATATTAATGAACTTGTTAAAATCGTGAACTAAAGTTAATGTTGTTTGTTTGCTTGTCTGTGTTGCAGAAGAGCGGCAGAGAAAGCTTCAGGAGTACCTTGCGGCTAAGGGAAAACTGAAGAGCCAAAACACCAAGTGAGTTTATCTGTCCACAGTTATGCAAGTCGTGTTGCCTTCTTTGCACTAACAATTTAAAGACTTTTTGAAACATGGCCCTTTTGCTTACAGTCTACTCAGACTGCATTGGGATTCTATGATAATACAAAAAGAGCATTTCAGTCCAGGCATGACAAAAGCCCCTGAGCAGCACTTAGTCCATTGGCAAAGAGTTAAGCATTGTTATTGTGAGACTCTCCAAAGGAATGAGGGAAGGGTCAGTATTACCTACCATGCTGGAAGCTTTGCCAGTTTCTGCTTTTTTTCCTTGGGGAAGTTGATTCTCACGAAGGCAATTTTTGGTTAAGAACTTGAATGACCTTGGGTCATTCTGAGCATTTACTATTGAGGTAGACAGAATATGACCACTTCTTTTTTTTTTTTTTTTGGAGACGAAATCTCTCTCTGTCGTCAGACTGTAGTGCACTGGTGCAATCTTGGCTCACTGCCACCTCTGCCTCCTGGGTTCAAGCGATTCTCCTGCCTCAGCCTTCCAAGTAGCTGGGACTACAGGTGCATGCCCCCACGCCCAGCTAATTTCTGTATTTTTAGTAGAGACAGGGTTTCACCATGTTGGCCAGACGGTCTCAATCTCTTGACATTGTGATCCCCCCACTTCGGCCTCCCAAAGTGCTGGGATTACAAGTATAAGCCACCATGCCTGGCCGACCACTTCATTTTTATCCTTTGTAGATTTTTACCATCTTTGTGGTGTTATTTGTCCTTCTTTCTTAGCATTACTTAATTTTTTCCCCATTTGATTTGCTAAATATTTATTTGAAAATTAATTTTTATGAAGTTAGCTTTCACTCTTTATTTTATCTTGGGTAACCTTGCCTCTGTTTCCTTGATTAAATGAATCTAGTCCATTTATTCAATAAATATTTACTACCTATAATATCTCAGTCACTCTTGATGCTAGAGATACAGTGCTTAACAAGACAGACATTCCTTCCCTCCCAAAGCTTATGTTCTAGATGGGAGAGACAAACATCAAACAAGTCGTGATCAAAGTTCTTGTTAGTCTAGCAATTGTTTTTGGTTGGTTTTGGTCCATGCAGATTGATTCCTTCTAAATTCTCCTCTGTTTTCCTATCCTTTTTTTGCATTTCCTAACTCACTAGCTAGATTTCATGGGTGTCGTAGTTTTTTCTTATATCACTTTTCCCCTCTGAAAATTAGAAAAGATAGTACTTAAAGATACTTAAAACAAGGAAATTTTTTTTTGAAGACGGGGTCTCTCCATGTTGATCAGGGTGGTCTCGAACTCCCAACCTCAGGTGATCTGCCTGCCTTAGCCTCCCAAAGTGCTGGGATTACAGGCGCGAGCCACTGTGCCCGGCTCCTAAAACAAATAAATTTTTTAAAGAAGCAGTTAATGGTTTTGTTTGGCATTGTGTCTTCAGTGTCTGGCACACTGCAGCGCTCCAGGAATGTTTGAATGAGTAAGACTATACACACATGAAGGAAACACGTATATCTCATTGATATTGTGAGAATGCTAGATTTATGTATAGAATGTCTCTGTAAGGATCACAAGCAAAAGAAAAGAATAGGAGCAGTTGGCGGTCTCCAAGAGGGAGGATACAGGACTAAAGAAATGATGATAAGGAGACTTTATTGAATATAATTTTTAATTATTTTGCCATTACAGAAATCCTAATTTAAAATTCTAATCATAATTTTTGATCACTATACTTCCCAAGCTTAGCTTGAGATCCTTCTGTGCTGAGGATTAATTTTAATTTGTCTTTTATAGGCCTTATCTAAAATCCAAGAATAATTGCCCGAATCCATCACCTTCTAAATCTGTAAGTAGAAATTTGTCTTTCTAGAAATATGCATTTGTAAGTATGATTAGTAATAAGAATAATAAAGATGTTAGCAACCTGAAGAACATGTATTTCAAAGGTATTTCTTAGGATACAAAAACAGTTTGGTTTAATAAGAGACAATCACTTTTTGAAAAGTACAACATGCTGTAGTTTAGTTTTATTAACCAAAAAAAAAGCCTCATGTGAACTATGGTCCTCTTGATAGCTAACATTGAATACTTACTGTGTGCCTGATGCTTTTCTGACTTGCATTACCTCATTGAGTCCTCACAATCGTATGAGGCTACTGTTAATAGCCCCACTTTACAGATGAGCAAACTAAGTCACAAAGGTTAAATTGGTCACAATGCTATTAAGTGACAAAGCTGAGAGGCTGTGATCTTAACCGCTTTGGTATGCTGCCATGAAGTTAAATACCTCAGTAGTCATTTAAAGGGAACATTTGCATTGAACCTTTCAAGCCACTTGACAAGTATATGCTTCCTAATCAATTTAACTACATAAGATAGAATGGTAAAAGATTCTTAACTTAAAGTTTAAATGGAAGAAATTAGCCCTCTGAAAGAGGCACAGATTCTTCATCTGCAATAAAAATCTCACCTTTAGTTTTTAAAAGCATAGTTTATATCTGTATTCTGAAATGTAAATCAGATAGTGCTTCCTGAAGTGAAACATTCTTATTGGTGAGACTTTTTTTTTTTAACTGCATTTTAGGTTTTGGGGTACATGTGAAGAACATGCAGGATTGTTGCATAGGTACACACGTGGCAGTGTGATTTGCTGCCTTCCTTTCCTTCACCTATATCTGGCATTTCTCCCCATGCTATCTCTCCCCAATACCCCACCCCCCACTGTCCCTCCCCTATTCCCCCCAACAGATTCCAGTGTGTAGTGCAGATCCCTGTGTCCATGTGTTCTCATTGTTCAACACCCACCTATGAGTGAGAACGTGCGTTATTTCATTTTCTGTTCTTGTGTCAGTTTGCTGAGAATGATGGTCTCCAGGTTCATCCATGTCCCTACAAAGGACACGAACTAATCGTTTTTGATGGCTGCATAGTATTCCATGGTGTATATGTGCCACATTTTCCCTGTCCAGTCTATCATCGATGGGCATTTGGGTTGGTTCCAGGTCTTTGCTATTGTAAACAGTGCTGCAATGAACATTCGTGTGCATGTGTCCTTATAGTAGAATGATTTATAATCCTCTGGATATATACCCAGTAATGGGATTGCTGGGTCAAATGGAATTTCTATTTCTAGGTCCTTGAGGAATCGCGACACTGTCTTCCTCAATGGTTGAACTAATTTACACTCCCACCAGCAGTGTAAAAGTGTTCCTATTTCTCCACATCCTCTCCAGCATCTGTTGTCTCCAGATTTTTTAATGATCGCCATTCTAACTGGCGTGAGATAGTATTTCAATGTAGTTTTGATTTGCATTTCTCTAATGACCAGTGATGATGAGCATTTTTTCATATGTTTGTTGGCCTCATGTATGTCTTTTGTAAAGTGTCTGTTCATATCCTTTGCCCACTTTTGAATGGGCTTCTTTGTTTTGTTCTTGTAAATCTGTTTGAGTTCTTTGTAAATTCTGGATATCAGCCCTTTGTCAGATGGGTAAACTGTAAAAATTTTTTTCCATTCTGTTGGTTGCCGATTCACTCTAATGACTTGTTTCTTTTGCCGTGCAGAAGCTGTGGAGTTTGATTAGGTCCCATTTGTCTATTTTGGCTTTTGTTGCCAATGCTTTTGGTGTTTTGGTCATGAAGTCCTTTCCTACTCCCATGTCCTGAATGGTATTGCCTAGATTTTCTTTGAGGGTTTTTATGGTGTTAGGTCTTATGTTTAAGTCTTTAATCTATCTGGAGTTAATTTTAGTGTAAGGTGTCAGGAAGGGGTCCAGTTTCTGCTTTCTGCACATAGCTAGCCAGTTTTGCCAACACCATTTATTAAACAGGGAATCCTTTCCCTGGTGAGACTTTTAATAAGTTTTAATGATTCATTCACCAAATTACTTCAATCATATTTTAGTCATATGCATATATAGACATACATATGTTGTGTATATGCATGACATCATTAGACAATACAAAGGATAGCAAAATGTATACAAGGCAAAATTTATGCACAATGACTTTATGTTTGGGAAGCACCGGGTTACACTGTTACTTTATGCAGATTGAACCAGTATAGCATGCAAGTCTTAAGGAAAAGTCTGCTGGAAAGGGCCTCATTCAGAATTCCCAGAGACTTCTCTGGAATTTGACAATACTGACTTCAGTGTGTCAACTCTTAAATGAGGATGATACCTACCTTATCTGCTTTACGTAGTTATAAAAGTAGAAAATGAAGTAAGAAAGGGAATTACAGAATTTAGGAGAAACTAAAAGCAGTATGTAAATAATAGTCATCATTACAGTTGTATAATGCTTGGCAATTTATATAACACTTTTGATACATGACCATAACAACTAACACCCAGATACTTTATATACATTACCTCAGAACAACCATGTAAGGAAGTTGGCCATATGCTTTAGTGTCCAAACCAGGACACTTTTGAAAGTAAAAAGCAGTGCTCTTTGACGAACGGGTGTAAATCAAAACTATCTTGTGAAAACCAGGATATATGGCATTCTTCCTAGATAATAGGCACTATTATTATTATCAGTTTTGCTGTGAATCTAAACCTGCTCTAAAAAAGTTAATTTTAAAAAGTAATGAAGTACTGATACATGCTACAACGAGGGTAAATCTTGAAACTATTATACAAAGTGAAAGAAGCCAGACAGAAAAGGCTACATATTACATGATTCCATTTATGCAACACATAAAATAGGCAAATCTGTGGACATGCAGAGACACAAGGACTGCAGGGAGCAGAAAATGGGGCGTGACTGCCAACAAGTAAACCAACTTTCTTTCTAGAGTGATGAATATGTTCTGGAATTAGACAGTGGTGATTGCTATATAATCGTGTGACTATACTAAAACCTACAGAATTGTGCACTTATTAAAATGGTGAATTTTATGGTTTATGGATTATATCAATTTGTTTTTAATATACAAGAAAGAGCAACTAAAAAATAACACACATTTGGAAGCTTTCATGCCAACATCCCTCCACCTTTTCAGTAAGCAGTGATGGAGAGATCTGAGGTGCGTATAAATTTTGGTGCTCAAAGATTAATCCAGATATAGCCATTGTGAGTATACCATCCATCTCTGGGCCTCCCACTCCCAGCTTCCCCCATTTCACCCCTAATAACACCACACACACTGATGTCATCCAGAATAGACATCTCTTTGCCCTTAATGCCAAATGGTTCTGGTTAGACGTGCTTTACATACCTGCCAAGTTTATATAGTGATTCTTCACAATATTGTCAAATCAAAAATAGAGTGGTAACTCTAGCATTCCTATATCTTACCCTGGAAACATATTCCATAAATCTCTGAAATTCTTTCTGAGTAATCGCTTTCATGGTAGATGTTCAAGAATTCATAGTGGCTTGCCCAGTTACTTACCATATGAATTCTAAACTCCCTTCCCTAGTTTTTAGAGTTATCTATAATCAAATCTACCTTTCTTATCCAAACTTAAATCACATGACTAAACATTTGTTTATTATTAACATAGACTCTAACCTTAAAACCCCATTCTGACTGACTTTACAAATATGACTACCGGATGTTAGATGTTTATTGAGAGCCGTGGCAGCATGTCTCAGGCCTCACATCATCTGCCATCTATCTCCTTGTCAGTAATCTCCAGGGATGAGACAGAGTTTCTTGACTGTGATGTTTACAAAGGCATTAGTTTGAAAAACATACATAGTGTGGCTAAAGTTCTAGGAGAGATTTGTTAGGAGGTAACCTAAGTTCATTATGTATGTATTTTTCCAGGGTCCCTTGGAGGGCACTTGGGATATAAAAGGCATCCAACAACTACTGTTTGATTGAGGCAAATTTATTTTTGAAACAGGAACTTTTGTATATTCACTGCATCTCTGCTTAATTCTGTCAAGCTAAAAGATTCTAATATATTTCTGATAGGAACTCAAGTTATAAAAACTACCTATTAGGACAGGTGCGGTGGCTCATGCCTGTTATCCCAGCACTTTAGAAGGCCAAGTCAGGTGGATCACTTGAGGACAGGAGTTCAAGACCAACCTGGCCAACGTGGTAAAACCCCATCTTTACTAAAAATACAAAAAGTTACCTGGGTGAGGTCATGCGCACCAACTACTTGCGAGGCTGAGGTGGGAGAATTGCTTCAACCCAGGAGGGCAGAGGTTGCTGTAAGCCAAGATTGCATCATTGCATACGAGCCTGGGTGACAGAGTGAGAACCTGTCTCAAAAAAACAAAACAAACAAACAAAACCCTATCTATTAATGAGTCTTTCTTTACTTTCTCAGGATTCAACTTAGATGAAATTCTAAAAATGATTAATATTTTTAGCATGTGTTAAATACAGTTATTTTTTAAAAATAAGATATTGTTAAGAATTTTTTAATATATATTTTCTTTGTCTTTTCAGACTATTAGACCCAAAAATGATGTTACCGACCATGCTGTTTTGCCTGTCAAACCTAAAAGGTCCATCAGCATTAAACTCCAGCCCAGACCACCTAATATTACAGCGTCCCAGAAGCTGAAGTTGGAGCCACCAAAACTTCTAGGCAAAAGGCTGACTTCAGAATGTGTTTCTTCTAACCCATACTCTAAGCCTTCTAGTAAGAGTTTTCAACAGCATGAAGCTGGATCATCCACAACAGAACTGTCAAGAAAACTTGTGGGGTCACTTAATATAGAACAATTGAAAACTACAAAGCAGCAGGTAACAGATCAAGGAAATGCTAAATGTACGGACTCTATGAATAATACCCATGCTGAAAACAAATCTTTGGTTTACTTTCTAAAAGAAACAAACAAAGAGAACCTGCCCCAAACTTTATCAGAACCTGAGAGGAAGCCAGATCCTAAATTACATACCACAAGTAAGCCAAAGATTGACTCTTATAATCAAACCAAGAACAGTTTAGCTCCTAAGCCAGCCTTGGGCAAAAGTTCAGTTAATAGTGCTGTTCTGAAAGACAGAGTTAATAAACAATTTGTTAGAGAAACACAAAGCAGGACTCTCCCAGTAAAATCACAGCAAATCTCTAGAGGAGCAGATCTTGCAAGACCAGGAGTAAAACCTTCAAGGACTGTTCCCTCTCACTTGATTCAGACCCTTAATAAGGTTCAGCCATCAAAGAAACCAGTGGTCAAGAACATCAAAGATATAAAGGTGAATAGGGGTAAATATGAAGGAACAAATGAAACTAAGTTACGGTCATACCCTGTTACTGAACAGAGAATGAAACATACCAAACCCAGAACATACCCCAATTTGCTTCAGGGTGAATGTAACAATAGACATCCAAACATCAAGCAAGATCCGAAGTCCACCCAACCTTCTTGTATACCTCAGACATCATGTATACTGCAAAAATCGAAAGCCATAAGCCAGAGGCCTAAGTTGACAGTTGGCAGATTTAATTCAGCTATTCCAAGCACCTCTAGCATAAGAGCAAATGGAACCATTAAACGTAATAATAATGGCTTTCAACAAACAGCACAAACTTTGGACTCCAAGTTGAAAAAGGCTGTTCCTCAGAACCATTTTCTGAACAAAACAGCTCCCAAAACTCAAGCTGGTGTCACAACCATAAATGGGACCCAAACAAACCCAAATATTAAAAAGGCAACAGCGGAGGATCGCAGGTACTTTGCTTTAATTCCAAGCTTTTGCAACTTAAGATGATTAGGCAAATTGACCATCAAGAAGAATTGGTCAGGAAATAGGCCATAAATAATGGCTTCTAAGTAATTTTTAACTATAGTCTGAAAAAGATTTGATGCAAATATTAAGACTTGACAGGGCTAGGTGGTACATACATATATTATAAATTGTTTTCTGTAGTTGTACGTTTAAAATAGTTCTTGGTTTTGTTTAAGAAGTTTCAATATAGAATGGATGAGTAAGAAGTAGGGGTTGCAGATGTAAATACTTGTTCAAGAAGTGCCCTGCTAGACTGGACAGCAATAGAACAGATAAGTGAGTTCACATAGCTAGGAAGTTAGAAAATGGTAGTCTCTTGTCAGACAAACCAATAGTTAAGTTCAGAAAAGTTATCAGGGAAGAACTGGGAACTTCCATGAGTCTGGGCCAAATTTTGGCAAGTAAGCTCAAACAGAGGAGTAGTCAGTTCAAATATAGAGTTAAGATGGTAGAAATCCAGATGTCAGGTAGGTTAATATTAACATACACTGATTGAAACTGAGCCAGTGGATTTTGTACACTTTCTACCCAGGACCAGATATAGTCTCATAATGTGGGTGAGCCTCCCAGGAGAAGCACTTGCTTGAAATAGAAAATAAGAACATTTCTGACAAGAGTGAAGGGAGCATGTAAAATTAGATGGTTGCTAAAAGGTGTAGCAGGGTGAAGCAAGGTACAGCTTGGTATAGCCCTGAACACCACCAACAAGCTCTCTGCCTTCCTGAAGAGACAGTAAGTTAACAACTTCAGGGTGATATATCCAGAGAGTAGGGCTGGAATGGCTGCTTTAGATAGAAGGATCAGTAGAGGTACTTTGAACAGCAACATCTGAGCTGAGACCTAAGGCTAAGAAAAGGCTGGTGGCAAGAAGGACAATCCTGAGCAGAAAGAAAAGTGACTGCAGAGACCTTGAGGTGGTGAATAAGGAAGTCAGGGTCCCAGCCGTAGAGCTCACAGTCTAGGTCAGACAACAGAGGATTGGTCATAAGACTGTGTTGCATGTTGAACATGTTTGATTACAGAAGGGGAGTCTGAAGAGGGAGAGATTTATTCATTCATTCTGCATGTGTTTCTTCAGCACCTGCAATGTGCCAGGTGCTAGGAGACACAGAGATGAGCACACAGTCAGTCTTTACCCTTCTGGAGCTTACTGTTTGTTGTATATGTGGAAAGTACTAGAGAAACAAAATTACGGTATTGAGGTCCTAGGAGTAAGTTGCCTTTAGAAAGGGTAAGTTCCCTCTTCATTTATGATTAGAAAGAAGTCTAAGGAGATAGGAAGAATGCCAGGAACATGAAGGAAGCACATGCCACATGTCTTAACTTCTATCATTAAGTAGGTGGTAAGAGTGAAGGTAAGAGGACAGTATTTGGGGCTGAAATAATAAGCATTGCATGGATTTTGCTCTGGAGTCAGAAATGAGAGTTAATAGCATTCATTCATTAAAAACTTAGTTATTGGCATTCTGGAAAGAGCAAAACTATAAAGATAAAAAAACATCAGATCATTCTCAGCAAACTGACACAAGAACAGAAAATGAAATACCACATATTCTCACTCATAGGCGGGTGATGAACAATGAGAACACATGGACACAGGGAAGGGAGTACTACACACTGGGGTCCATTTGGGGGGAATAGGGGAGGGACAGCAGGGGGGGAACTGGGGAGGGATAGCATGGGGAGAAATGCCAAATGTGGGTGAAGGGGAGGAAGGCAGCAAAACACACTGCCATGTGTGTACCTATGCAACTATCTTGCATGTTCTGCATATGTACCCCTAAAATGCGATTTAAAAAAAAAAAACAAATCAGTGATTGCCAGGAGCTGGGGGTTAGGGGTGAGACTGACTACCAAGGAGCATGAGGGAATTATTGAAGGTGTTGCAACTGTCTTATAGCTTGGTAATAGTTAGGCTTACATGACTTAATGCATTTGTCAAAATTCAGAATTGCAAGCTAAAAAAAGGTGAATTTTGCCGCGTGTTATTAAATACCTATGTGTGCTAGGTACTGTGCTGGGAACTGGACTGTTAAGGTTTCTGTTTTCATAGAGCTTACACTCTAGTGGAGGAGACAGAAAACCAACATATTGACTAAATAAGACACAGTAATTACAGGTAATTGCCTCTTTATGGAGGTGTCATTTGAGCAGAGGACTGAAGATGTAAGACCTTAAGGCAGGAATGAGTCTAGATCAAGAAACCAGGGATGCAGGGCACGGTGGCTAATGCCTGTAATCCCAGCACTTTGGGAGGCTGAGGCGGTCAGATCACTTGAGGTCAGGAATTCAAAACCAGCCTGGCCAACATGGTGAAACTCTATCTCTACTAATAATAAAATAAAATAAGCTGGGTGTAGTAACACACACCAGTAATCCCAGCTACTCGGGCAGCTGAGGCACAAGAATCGTTTGAACCCAGGAGGCGGAGGTTGCAGTGACCTGAGATTGTGTCACTTCACTCCAGCCTGGGTAATAGTGAAACTGTGTCTCAAAAAAAAAAAGAAACTGCAAGGATACTTGAGCTCCTGGGGCAGCGAGGTGAGTGACAGGGAGACTAGTGTGATGTGAGGTTGGAGAGGTAGGCAGGAACCAGATTACACTGCACCTTTCAGCCATGGAAAATATTTTGAATTTTATTCCAAGAGCCGTGGGAAGTCCTTGGCAGTGACACAGTCTGGGGTGCTATTTACCAAAGTAATAAAAACTTGGAACAGATGTGAAGATGAAAATCAAGATCTTTGTTTGAGACAGTATTAAATTTGAAATGCCTGTCAGACATCAAAAGTTATCAACTAGGCTGTGGGTTTTACAAAGTTTGGGGCTCCAGGGAAAGATCTGGGTTGAAATGTACACTTGGAAGTCATTAATATGTAGTTGTAATTTAAAGAAGCTGGAGTGCCTACATCCAAGCACTTGGGGTCTATATGTCTTGGTGCCCCTACCCCCAAAAAGAAATCTATTGCCTGCTTAGAAGCAGGGGTGGAAACTGTGAACAGTGGGGGTCAGCAAGAATGAGGACTTGGCATTATCAGAAACCAGCTATTTAAGAGCCCTTAAATTACTGGTCTAGCTTATGAAAGAAAGTAATGTCTGGTCAAGAGAGGACTAAGGAACTAGGTTAAGTGGATCACTTCACACACTAAGACCTTTTTGAAGGCAGAATGCAGGCTTGATGGGTTTGGATTGAGTGACAGCTTATGGTAAAAGAAATGAAGTGCTGAGTCATCTCAAAAATAGAGGGATGTCTTGGGAAAGCAAGTAGCATACAGTGAAGTGAAAACTTTTGGAGAAAAATAATGAAGAATCACAAATTCTATTTGAAATCTGAATTGCTGGCCACACGTGATCTTGGAATCTTGGTGTCTGCCTTCTCAAGGTAGGCACAACCCAGTGGTGCCATTTTCCATTTGTAAATTTATTTTAATTCCATTCTACTGATTTTGTCTGTAGTTGAAAGTATTTAATTATATTATATATATATATATATATATATATAAAAAATATATTTTAGCAGCTTGACTATGTTTTAAAATAAATAAAACCACTCACCCTTTAATTGAATTTTAGGAAACAACTAGAAGACTGGCAGAAATCTAAGGGAAAAATCTATAAACGGCCTCCTATGGAACTTAAAACAAAAAGAAAAGCAATAAAGGAAATGAATATTTCATTCTGGAACAGCATTGAAAAAGAAGAGGAAGAAAAGAAAGCACAATTCGAACTGTCTAGTAAAATTAACAACACTCTGACAGAATGTCTGAACCTCATCGAAGGGGTGAGTGAAGAAAACAAGTTCCTCCTGCTTTGGCCCAGACCAGAATCTTAGAATTTTTAAACATTTTGCTTAAATAGAGTATAGGAGAGATAGCCTTCATCTAAGCAGAACTTTAGCTACTCTTAAATATAGAGTAATAATAATAGCAGTAATAATAATGACATGCCCATAAACAGAGACTTTTATATGCCAGGTGCTTTTATAAGCAGTTAACTGAGATTATCTTACATAATTATCTAACCACTGTTACTATGATCACTTTACAAATGAAACGAGGGCTCAAAGAAGTTGGAAAACTAATCTAAACAACCTGACTCCAAAAGGAACTTTGCCTTCTTTGGGTATCAAGTTGTGAAGAGTATCCATTTAACATTTGGAAATGAAATTGAAGTCAGAAGTCAAGTTTATATGTAAAGTTCAAGTATTCTAAATACTCTGGGTAGCTATAAATAGTATTTAAATTTTATCTTGGATTCTGCAGATAAGGATAAAATAGATGATAGGCAGAATGTGATCCTTAGGAGAATCCCTGAATAAAAAATATATTTTAAAATGATGGAATAAACTTTACTAAAATTCTTGCCTAAAGCAAAACTTATTCTGTCCTTTGGTTATGTTGAATATCAGCAAAAAAAAAAAAAAAAAAAAAAAAAAAAAAAAAAGGAAAAGTTCACTTTAAGTCTACTCCAGGCAACATTTTCAAAACATCCAGTTAAATACTATTTCTCCTTATGGGATTAAACTCACAACATCCAGTTAAATACTAACTGTTTCTTCTTGTGGGGTTAAACTTGAGTTCTTTTTCTTTTTTCTTTTCATTGTAGTATTAAAAATCATGAGTACATTTTTATTATTAAAATTATTTCAAACAATACAGATAAATGATCAGCCCTCTCCCTCTACAAACATACATACTTAGAAATCCCAAACTTCTCTCTGGGTGACCACCATTGCCAGTCATTCTTTCTGTTTTCATGCATGTTCATATGGTGTAGCTATGTAGAGAAATGAAGTATATAGTTTTGTGAGTTGCAATTCTTTTATTCATTTTTATGTACTTTGATTGTCTTGTGTTTTCCTAGCACCAATTTTATGCTGACCTAGGAAGATGAGTTGTATATTTTTCTTTTTGTCCTATAAACTGAAAATAGTTTGTATGACATTAGAATTATTTTTATTTTGAAGGTTTGATAAAAACTTGCCCATAAAAATTATCTGGACCATGTTTCTTTGGAGGATAAATTTGTATATATCTTCTCAATTTGATATGTGGTCATTGCTCTATTTAGGGTTTATGTATCTTGAGTCAACTTTAGTAAATTTTGTGACTTTTTAAAAGTTAGACTTGCCAAAGATTTTTCTCATTAATTTTTTTGAAAGACCTCAGGTTTTACTGATTATTTTTTCTCTTGAATCAATGTCTGTACCCATTTTTATATTTATTGCTCTTTTCCTACCTTTTTAATTGAAATCTTAGATCATTTTTAAAAGTGAGTCTTTCTTATTTTTTTTACAAGTATGTTTAATGCTATAGCACATTTACCTCTGAAGTTTACTTGGTCACATCTCCCATATTTGACTAAGTTATGCTCTTTATCAGTCATAGTGAAGTCTGAAAAACAAACCACAGAAAGAGTGTAATTGGTTACACAGTGTCTTACATAGATTCTCTAGAAGTAGACCCTAAGAGGAGAATCTGTATGAAAGTAGTTTATTAGGAAGACACTCCAGGGAAAACTGGGAAAGGAGTGAAGTCATAGGATCAGAAAAGCAAGTCCATGGATGGTGACTCTGGCACAGTCCACAGGGGAGCTCTGGAGACGGTGTCAGTCACATCTCTCAGAGTCATCCTGATCAGAGGCAAGGGAGCTACAGTGTTAAAGCTTCCATGGTCATTTATTCATGGCTGCCTCAGGCGGACAAGAATTCTCAGGCACTTCTCACTCTCTGGGCACATACAAGGGAGCACAGATGCTGGCTGTGAAAGCACATAGTGAGCCTGTGCGCACAAAAATGCTGAAGGGATCAGAGGGATGTGGGTGCTATACGCAGGGCTGACAGCAAAGAGGTAACAGAGATGATACTGCAGGAAGCAGCTGGTACCCACTGAGTCTAGGGGAACAAAGAGAGGTTTGGGTATCAGAACCAAGAAGCAGAAGAAACAAACCCTGATAGAAATGATACTCCAACTGTAAGGAGGGCATACTACCCAGCAGATGCTGGAGGAGAGGCCCTGCAGGGCTGGGGCTCAGACTTTGAGGAAAAGATTCTATCCATTTGGTGCTCCTGCCACTGAAGCTGCACAGTGAGGTGGGATCTGAGGGGAAAGGCGGAAAAGTTGGAGGCTAGAACCAACTGTTGCTGCCGGGATGAGGAACCATTGCTGGGGTGATGAAAGCAAATGGGAAGAAGCAAGTGTCTTCCTTCTCTATCCCTGCAGTCTCCCTCTTGTGCCCACTATGGGTAGAGCCGAGCAGGGAAACTGCTGCCAAGCAGAAAGTGGTTTACAGAGTTCCAGCCCCAGCATCACAAAGCAGAGGATGGGGGGGTTAATAGCTTAATAACTGACATATGTTCTCATTGTGCATTTCTAAATAGTTTGAGATTCCCATTTTGATTGAGTTCTTTAACCCAAAAAATGTCTTAGAAGAATTATATTGCATTGTAGTTGGTGAATGTGGCCTATGTATACTCTACTTGATGGGTTTTGTTGAAATTTTCTTTGTGGTCTTAATATCTGATCATTCTTGGTAAATGTTCCAAAAGTGTTTGAAAGGAATATATATCCTATTTTGTTTACTTGATCCATTGCTTTCTGAGCAATACGCCAGAGTCTCTCACTGGCACTGTGATTAGTCATTGACAATTTCTCTTCATATGTCTGTCAATTTTTACTTTCTGTTTTTCAAAGTTACGTTGTTAGGTACAGAAAAATTCATGACTTGCTTTGATTTCTTTTGTCTGATTAATCTTGCCACACCTGCTTTTTGTTGTTAGAATATGTCTGGTAGATTTTTTTCCATCCCTTTACTTTGAACCTTCATGGGTTGACTTATTTTAGGTATGTCTCATATAAGTATACGCAGTTAAATTTTTTAAACAAATCTGAAACTCTCTACTTTTAAAAAGCAAATTTAGTTTATACACATTTATTATGATTACTTGTATGTTTAAACTTATGCCTGCCATTTTATTTTGTAATTCAGTTTACATGAATTCTTTTTTCCCCTCATTTCTGTGTTTGATCTAGTTTTATTTCATAAAGAAAATAATACACTGAAATGAAAAAAAGTGGTAGATGTAAGCTCACACATGATTTGCAGAATATATATTATATTCTTCTGGCAGTTCCATTTTTGGTGTTTTTGTTTTAAGAGACAGGGTTTCACTCTGTTGCCTAGACTGGAGTGCAGTGATGCCATCATAGCTCACTACAACTTTAAACTGGATGGGCCCAAGCAATCCTCCACCTCAGCCCCCTGAGTAGCTAGGACTATAGGTACATACCACTACACCCAGTGTTGTTTAAATTTTTTTGGAGACTCAGGGTCTCACTGTGTTGCCCAGGCTGGTCTCAAACTCCTGGCCTCAAGCAATCCTCTGCCTCAGCCTTCCCAAGTACTAGGATTACAAATGTGAACCACCCACTGCGCCTGGCCTGCAGTTACTTTTGTTTCAAGTCTTTCACATGAGTTCTAAAATTTACTCACTAGTGACTCTGATTTTTTGAATGATAAACCTTTTGAGTCTGTATTCTTGTGAAACTGTCGTTATTTTGCCTTCATGCTGGACTCATAGTTTGGTTAGGGGAAATTTCTTAATTTCAGCTTGTTTTCCCTGGAAAATTTTAAGTGATTGCTTCATTTTCTTTCTTGCATCTGGAGTTGTTGATTTGTTAATGTCTCATATCAATCTGATTCTCATTCCTTTATAAATAATCCTTTTTTCCCCCTCTCTGGAAGCTTTTCTGATTTTCTTTTTATCTCTGATTTTCTAAGTGTCTTTTTCTCCCATTCATCCTACTTAACTCTCTGAACAGTTGTTTCTCTGTTCATTTCCTGACATTTTTCTTCTACAATCACTTTGTGTGTTTAACTTTGTTCTCTCCATTTTGCCTTCTAGAAATTATCTTAGAGGGATATTGGAATTATTGAGTAATAGATATATCCTTCATAACTCTAAATTTTGTTTTCATACTAGTGATTACATTGTTCTTTTGCATTGATTTCTAGGAGAATTTCACAGCTGAACTTTTGGCTCACAGATTTATTCTTCAGTGTTGTTCCTGAAATTGTTCTGCCCTTTTATTGGTTCTTTTTCATAGAAAAAGCCATTCTAGTTTTAGGATAGCAATACTCTCTTATCACTCTGAAGATATTGAGTGATATCACTCTGTAGTACTCTTAAAAGTATTCCTCTTTGATGCAGTATTATTCTTGTTTGTTGAGTTTTATGCCTTTTCCTGTAGTCTTGGTGTTCTCAAATATTAGTGATTCTCAATTGTGAACTTACCTTTGTGTTTCCCCATATTAATAGCAGTGAAAGGTGCTGCTCGGCTGAGTGTGCCAGTACCTGGATTTCTGGGCATGCTAGTGCTCCCCATTCTTATGCGTCCATGTGACTGTCCTGCTTGTGGCATAAGCTACAAGGGGATTAAACCAGTGAATCCATTTCAAAGTTTCTTCTTGTGATATTTAGTCCTCTTTGATGAACACCTGCATAAATCCCCAACTTTCATGAACACCTGCATAAATCCCCAACTTTCATGAACACCTGCATAAATCCCCAACATACACATATACACCCCTATGACCTTTGCATGCCTGTGTCATTCTTTACACTGCTATTAGTCATACAGAAATTCTGGTCACTACTCAGTGTTCTCATTGTTATAAATATGGAATATGGATATGTAAGAAATGTTTAGGATTTGTATTGTTTTTGTACCACACGAAAGTGAACATATTTCTTCCCTTCAGCTATGATAAACATTTTCTACTTGGTCTCACATAACTCTTAAAATTTAATGTTGAGGAGACTAGGCACAGTGGATCATGCCTGTGGTCTCAGCTACTCGAGAGGCTAAGGTGGGAGGATTGCTTGAGCTCAGGAAGTAGAGATTGCAGCAAGTTGTGACCAGATTACTGCACTCCAACCTGGGCAACAGAGTGAGACCTTGTCTCAAAAAAAAAATTTAGGCCATGCATGGTAGCTCTCGCCTGTAATCCTAGCACTTTGGGAGATTGAGGCGGGCAGATCACGAGGCCAGGAGATTGAGACCATCCTGGCTAACATGGTGAAAACCCCGTCTCTACTAAAAATACAAAAAAATTAGCCGGGCATGGCAGTGGGTGCCTATAGTCCCAGCTACTTGGGAGGCTGAGGCAGGAGAATTGCTTGAACCCAGGAGGCGGAGGTTGCAGTGAGCCGAGATCGCTCCTCTGCACTCTAACCTGGGCGACAGACTGAGACTCCATTCCCCTGCCCCCCCCCCCCCAAAAAATTAATGATGAATGTCCAAACTCATTAAAATGGATAATTTTTTTTCTTTTTTTTTAGAAATCATGTTTCCTTTTAATTGAATACTTAATTCACAACTTTTCCTTTCTTGCTGCTACTCTGGTAATAATTAGGTCCCCACCTCTTAAGAACATTGCAGCTGACCAGACAGAGCCAGTATGAACATGGGACCCAAACCAGGGCTTTCGGAATAATGAGAGTAAATCAGCCCTCCCTTCACTTAGAAAGAGACTAAGTGAAGGATTTGGACCAAATCTTCTTTGTCCAAACACACAAAACCAGGAGCTCAACGCCAACATGGGCAATATTTCATTTTCTGTTCTTGTGTCAGTTTGCTGAGAATGATGGTCTCCAGGTTCATCCATGTCCCTAAAGAGGACACAAACTCATCATTTTTATGGCTGCATAATAAATATTCCATGGTGTATATGTGCCACGTTTTCCCTGTCCAGTCTATCATCGATGGGCATTTGGGTTGGTTCCAGGTCTTTGCTATTGTAAACAGTGCTGCAATGAACATTCGTGTGCATATGTCCTTATAGTAAACGATTTATAATCCTTTGGATATATACCCAGTAATGGGATTGCTGGGTCAAATGGAATTTCTATGTCTAGGTCCTTGAGGAATCGCCACACTGTCTTCCACAATGGTTGAACTAATTTACACTCCTACCAGCAGTGTAAAAGTGTTCCTATTTCTCCACATCCTCTCCAGCATCTGTTGTCTCCAGATTTTTTAATGATCGCCATTCTAACTGGCATGGGGTGGTATCTCAATGTAGTTTTGATTTGCATTTCTCTAATGACCAGTGATGATGAGCATTTTTTCATATGTTTGTTGGCCTCATGCATGTCCTCTTTTGTAAAGTGTCTGCTCATGTCCTTTGCGCACTTTTGAATGGGCTTGTTTGTTTTTTTCTTGTAAACCAGTTTTAGTTCTTTGTAAATTCTGGATATCGGCCCTTTATCAGACGGGTAAACTGCAAAAATATTTTCCCATTCTGTTGGTTGCCGATTCACTCTAATGACTTTTTTTTTGCCATGCAGAAGCTGTGGAGTTTGATTAGGTCCCATTTGTCTATTTTGGCTTTTGTTGCCAATGCTTTTGGTGTTTTGGTCATGAAGTCCTTGCCTACGCCTGTGTCCTGAATGGTTTTGCCTAGGTTTTCTTCTAGGGTTTTTATGGTGTTAGGTCTTATGTTTAAGGCTTTAATCTATCTGGAGTTAATTTTAGTGTAAGATGTCAGGAAGGGGTCCAGTTTCGGCTTCCTGCACATGGCTAGCCAGTTTTGCCAACACCATTTATTAAACAGGGAATCCTTTCCCCATTGCTTGTTTTTGTCAGGTTTGTCAAAGATCAGATGGTTGTAGACATGTTGTGTTGTCTCCAAGGCCTCTGTTTTGTTCCATTGGTCTATATCTCTGTTTTGGTACCAGTACCATGCTGTTTTGATTACTGTAGCTTTGTAAACAAAAGAAAATGGATAATTTTTTAAAGTGCATTTTATTGCATGTACATTGTACCTCAGCAAAATTGAAAATTTTTTAAAAGTTTGTAAATATTAGTAATCAAAATGATTTCTGCATGCCTGCTATAATAAATATTAAGAGATGTGAGAGTAACAGTGAAATGGTAATAATTACCTCTGGATATTTTGGGTTTTTTTTTCAGGGTGTACCTTATAATGAAATACTTAACGTATTGTCCAGCATTCCTGAAGCTGAAAAATTTGCCAAATTCTGGATCTGCAAAGCAAAGTTGTTGGCAAGTAAAGGCACCTTTGATGTTATTGGGCTATATGAAGAGGCCATTAAAAATGGGGCAACAGTGAGTATCTGTTTTGGATGGGTAACTTCTTAAAATGCTTTTTCATGTGAGTTCTCCATTTTTTTTTTGTAATGTGGTTGTTAGAAGGTTGCAGCATCAATATCCAACACTTATAAAATCATACCTTACCATAAAGAACCTGAAAATATATTAAACACAGTACATCAACATTCTTAAATCAATAATTCAGAGCCATTACATGAAATATTTTTTAATTCTAAAATCTAGAAAAAAACACGATATAATTATTTATAAAAACTGCATCAAATAATTTGATAAAGCTTTTCATTAAAATGTCATTTTCTGTGTCATATCTCATATTCTTTGGTACCTTTTACCATAACAGTTCAAAATCAGAATTGTACATGCACATAGTTTAAACAGTCAAGTAGTTTGATAAGTTTCATTCAATAAGGCCTCTGCCTGCCTTCCCTCCCATTCCCCCCTTCCCAGAGCAAACGGATTATTTTTATATTAACCTCTATAGTTTCAGAAAACATGCTTCTGTTTCTTGACTTTTTAGTTTTAGATATGATTTATGGACTTCCAGCTATGCAGAATGAAGATTTAACCCTCTTTCACACATACATACACAGATCCCAGCACACACAAATACACGCCCCTATTTACCATCCTTGCAGACCCTTGGCATTCCTCATACTTTCATTAGCGTTATGAAATTCTGGTCACTATTTAGCATTCACATTGTTAGGAATATATAAGAAATATATGAATATGTTGAGCCATGTAGTATATATACTATGATTACTTTACCTTTCAAGCACAACTTTCTACTTCTCCTGGAGTTACTGTCTTGTTTTGCCTTTGCTTAGTTTTCTGTTTATTATATAATTAATTCACAAACTCTTCTCTAATTGTCTAAGTTCCTCAATACTTTGAAAACATCAGATATTCTATTGATTTCTTTTTCTTAGAGACCTCCTTTCTCCTTTCTACCTTCTGGCTTATTCCAGCCTGAACAAGTTGCTCTTTACTCCCATCTTCACCAGCTATCTTTCTGGGATCTCTTTACCACCACCTTTAGATTCCCTTTACATCCTTCTTAAGTTGGGTGGATCCCTTGTGTTTTAGAAGCCATATCAGTTTTCTTCTTCCCACATTGTCTATACGTTTTTCATTTCTTTCTCTCATTGTTATTGTTTGTTTTATTTTGTTTTGTTCTCTATTATTCATTAAAGGCTTTGCACAGTTACTGGTGAAACTGGGCTGTTCTCTATTATTCATTAAAGGCTTTACATAGATGCTGGTAAAACTGGATTATTTCTAAGAGGTGAGTCTGAAAAAGCTTATTTAAAGCTCTAGACACATGAGTAGGGCTTTACCACAGGGTGATTTGGCTGAGTTGATTGGTTAGAAAACCCTCAATAGCAGTCAGTATCTTTAGGTCTTTCCTCTTAAGCTGGTCAAGTCTTCTAGAGCAGGCTGTTCCAGTCTCCTTTCTGGACGGTAGAAACCAGGCTGCCAGTGCTGTGGGAGAGAAGAGAATAGGGAGTCTCAGCCCTCAACATAGAAACTTTTGCTTATTCCCTTTTCTCAGTAAGCACCCATTCTTGCATGATACCCCTCAGAGACTTAAAGAATACATCCCCAGTTTTCTGTTAGGATGAAGGGAGTCAGACAGTTAGTTACCAGAGCACAGAGTTCAGGGCTGCAGGGTGGATTTGGAGGTCTGACAGCTTTTTGAACAGATGCTAAAGAGTCCTCCTAATTTGGGCCCTATCACCCATTCTTGAGCCTTTCTGCCAGGTTGTTTCTCAGCCAAACTGCCAGCTTGGGATTCAACTCGCTTAAGTCAATTAAATTGTTCACCTCTCTTCCTTCTGCATTGCAGCTTCCAAAACCTTATTGCCATTTCTTCTTTAATGTGCTTTGTGGTTATTGCCTCTTTTTAATCCTTTTATTATCCTTTCAGCAGATTTTTAAGAGAGATTAGAAATAAATGTATATTTAATCCACCATCTTTAACCAGAAGGCTATACAAATATAAAATACACTTGAATGTTTTATGGAATTCATTTTTTGCAATATATTCTATATATTTATTCCCATTCATTTAGCTGAAATCATAATTCTGTTTTAGATTTTGAAAAAATATTTGGAAAGCTTTACTTTTATGCTTTATTGTCAGTTTATATCTGTTTGATACAGAGTCCCAGGTAAGGAAGACAAACCTCCAACTATAATGTTCTTGTGGGAAAGTACAGCTTACCTTACGATGTTCTGCTTCATGGCATGGTTTATATACTTGAAAAATGAAGGCTGTCTCAAATATTTTTATCAGAAAATTACTTTTCCATAAAGTTTTTTTTTAAGTATGTTACCAAATAAAAGAAGAAAGAAAGGAAAAGCTGAAGAAAATTACCCAAAATGCCTACAAAAATTGTATCTGGGCCAGGCACAGTGGCTCATGCCTGTAATCTCAGCACTTTGAGAGGCTGGGGCAGGTGGATCACCTGAGGTCAGGAGTTCGAAAGCAGCCTGGCCAACATAGCGATACCCCATCTCTACTAAAAATAGAAAAATTAGCCACATGGGGTGGCACGTGTCTATAATCCCAGCTACTTGGGAGTCTGAGGCAGGAGAAAAACTTGAACCTTGGAAGTGGAGGTTGCACCACTGCTCTCCAGCTTTGGTGACAGAAACTCCCTTCTCAAAAAAATTGTGTTTGGGTGATGGAATTTGGGTGATTTCATTTGTTAAGCTTAACCTATACAAATTTTCTATAATGTGTATATGACTTTTATGATAAAAAACAAAGACAACATGTAAAATACATAATGTATTTTTTGTGTGGCTAGCTTTGCATCATTGGGCCAGAATCTTTATGTGGGAATACATATTTGATGGTATTATATAAATCAATAGGGAAATAGAATGTGATGTAGACAAATTACATTATAGACAACTTTAAATACATCCATTCATTAAGTCAAGTGTGCCAACACTTAATTGGAATTTTCTGTTTCTTTATTTTTCTCATGAAGCTGTAAAACTGTCAAGCTAGACAAAATATTTATTGCTAGACAAGATATTTTAAAAGGAAACATTTTTATTATAAAACATTTATTTGAAGTTAAAGTTTCTTAGCAAATTTTTTCCTCGAATGTTCTTAAGATTTCATATATTTTCTTCCTTCCTTCCAGCCAATACAAGAGTTGCGGGAAGTTGTTCTTAATATTTTGCAAGACTCAAACAGAACCACGGAAGGTATTATTATTTTTGTATTTAAATTCATCTTCTCTAGCTATGCCAGTAAAAATCATCTAGAACCCATAGGAAAAAGAAGAAAAGTATGATCTCCTGAAATGCTTCTCACTTCCTGGTTTTCATGACCTGGCCCTTTCAGCCATTGTCATCAGCTGAATTTGTATTATTACAAGTAAATACACTGCTCAACACTGAACAAAGGTTGTTTCCACCAAAACAGCCTAGACTGAAGTGCTCCATTTCCCTGGAATCCTAGATGGAAGAAGACAAACAGCTTTTTACTAGAAGAGACTGAAGCAAAAAGGAGAAATGCCTTAAGTTACATGTTTAATCCTAATAAACTACCAACATACTCATCCAAATTCATGTTATCCCTTCAAAAATAGCCATCTCAGGAATCTCTAATTGATTGACCATTACTATTAGTGGTTAACCTTTAGAAGACTTTTCTATGAGAAATATTGCTCCAAACACATTAGTAACATTATAATTGCTTATAATACTTGTATGAATGGAAAGAAAAAACAAGCTATCTTTAGAAAATAAATTGGATTCTTCTTGTTATCTTCGAAGGTGACAAGTTTTTCCTTTAAGAGTAGATTTAGGCTGCACACAGTAGCTCATGCCTATAATCCCAGCACTTTGGGAAACCAAGGCAGATGGATTACCTGAAGTCAGGAGTTGGAGACCAGCTTGACCAACATGGTGAAATCCTGTCTCTACTAAGAAAAAAAAAATTAGTCAGGTGTGATGGTACATGCCTGTTAATCCCAGCTACTCAGGAGGCTAAGGCAGGAGAAACATTTGAACCAAGAAAGAGGAGTTTGCAATGAACCAAGATTGCACCATTGCACTGCAGCCTAGGCAACAAGAGTGATACTCCATCTCAAAAAAAAAGAAAAAGAGTAGATTTAACTGGGGAACAATCAAGTCATGGAATTATAGTTAGGTAACCCACTACTTGTGGGAATAAGGAAATAGAATAGATATACTTGATAATAGATTCTTTGAGAATGAGGCTACAATTCAGATACTTGGTTAAAACATGACAGTGTTCTTAAACAAAAAAAGACAGGAATCCATGCTTTTGTTGTACCCTGTTGACCTCACTTAGGGTGTCAGCCTCTAGATACAGTGTGCCTGGCATAGTCTGATTTCCTTTCCTTTATTTTGGTTATTGTAGTTGGACTACCATGAAAACTATTAATGCAAGACATTTTTCACCCACTGTCCAAGGCAGTAACCATGTGGTCATCCTGGGTAGGAGGGGGATTAGGAGGTTGTGTGAGTTAACCTTAGTGAGTCAAGAAAATTGATCCAAGGTATGGTGTAAGGGTAGAAGGCCAGTGAGTAGTCCCTAAGAGAGTGCTCTTGAGAGTTAATAGGAGACTGGGAATGTGTTCAGAGTCTTGAAAAGGTGTCAAGAATCTACTTACAGCTGTCTGTCTGAAGGCTGGCTGGGAGGGGAGCCTGATGTAGCAGGACATTGCTACAGGGCTTACCAGGAAAAAAAGAAATTATAAATCCCACCTCAAATCAATCACTATTTAGCGTGTGGAGTTCATGAAGATCACTGGAAAATCATTGTATGTATGTATTTTTCATGTTAGTGATTTTTATTTGAAGTATTAAATTGCTAAATCTTAACTTTCCTTCCTGACCGTACATACACAGGAATTACTTCTGACTCGTTAGTTGCTGAAACTAATATAACATCAGTGGAAGAGTTGGCCAAGGAGATGGAATCTGTGAAGTCTTGTCTTTCTCCAGAAGAGAGGGAACAAGCCATAGCAACACCCCAAATAGCCAAGGCAGAACAGCATAATTATTCTGGAATCAAGTTACAGATTGGTCCAATCCCTAGGTAAGCAAACTCTAAAGCAGGCTTTGTGTTCACAGGCTTAATTCTAATCCAAGTCTCAGTTTTTCCTTGGAGTAACAGCAGTTTATAGATACTTCTGCTTCATATGAGGTGGCTTAATCCATCTTCAGCATTCAGGAAAGAGCTGAGGATGGGGAGGTTGGAACCATTGACAGGAAGGTCTGTTCTTTTCTCTGCACACACCATCCCCTTTTCACCACACCGATAAGACCTGACCTGTGGTGAGGAAGGTGCTGCCAGAGTCGGAAGGTATTAGAATGCATTCATCCCCACCCTCCTAAATTCTCTCCTGCTCTCATTTTTCCTGCACTTATAGATCCTATCTACCTTTCCTGCAAGTCTTAACACAACTGGGTAGGATTGGATTGATAAGGTGGGGCACAAAGTCCCACGCAAGGGCAAACCCTGTAGCTGTGGGAGAGAAGGGACAGTGAATAGGCCTCTAAGAACAGGGCAGTGGAGTATGTTCTAGTCAGAGACTGCTCATCAAATCAGAAGTATTTTTATTTATTTATTTATTTATTTTTGAGATGGAGTTTTGTTCTTGTTACCCAGGCTGGAGTGCAATGGCGTGATCTCGGCTCACCGCAACCTCCGCCTCCTGGGTTCAAGCAATTCTCCTGCCTCAGTCTCCCGAGTAGCTGGGATTACAGGCACACGCCACCATGCCCAGCTAATTTTTTGTATTTTTAGTAGAGACGGGGTTTCACCGTGTTGACCAGGATGGTCTCGATCTCTTGACCTCGTGATCCACCCACCTCGGCCTCCCAAAGTGCTGGGATTATAGGCATGAGCCACCACGCCTGGCCAGCATTTTATTTTTTAACAAGTATAAATTTAAGGCAGAATCTGTAGCAATTTAAGGAGCTGTGTCAGGGTGTCAGTGTTATTTTCTAAAAGTAAGTGTAGCACCATTCTTCTGGTCATGATCTGGAAAAGAATTCCAAACAAGAGCACCAAGACAACAGTTCTGTATTTTACTTCCTTGGAAAACACAGCTGAGCCTCTTCCAATCCTAAGCTCCTCTCTGAGACACACCATTTTCCCACCCACTGTCACAAGTGAATGAAAACAGTTAATCCGAAACCACTTCTTAGTGGCTCTGGAATCCATTAGGAGAGCTCTTTAGCAGACTTGCCTGCTAGTTTTCCTTGGGCTAATGTAGTTGCTGGTTTTGTGAATTGTAGACCGGATTTACTACATGGAAAAGCCCTGCTTCCTATGCTCCAAGCTACTTTTTATTGGAATTTTACAGATTTACATGGAAGATGCCCAAATTGTGCCAGTTTCTATTTGTGGTTCAGTTCACCATCTTAAAAGATGTTAAAATAATTTACTGTCAAAGCTAGAAAGAGCTGGGCATGGTGGCTCACACCTCTAATCCTATCACTTTGGTAGGCTGAGGCAGGAGGATTGCTTGAGCCTAGGAGTTCAAGACTAGCCTGGGCAGCATAGGGAGACCCCAGCTCTACAAAAAGTAAAAATTTAGCCAGGCATGATAGCACACATCTGTGTTCCCACCTGCTTGAAAGGCTGGAGTGAAGATCCCTTGATCCTAGCAGGTCGAGGCTGCAGTGAGCTATGGTCACACCACTGGACTCTAGTCTGGGCAACAGAGTGAGACCCTGTCTTTAAAAAAAAGAGAAAAAGCTAGAAAGAATCTTAGAATTCATTAATTCAACCAAATTTAGTATTAGGCCCCATTTTCTTAAAACCTGTCACCTGTTTTAAAAGTATGTGGAATAAATGAATACTGACTGCCAAATACTTGACTTCAAATAAAAACCACACTTCATACTTTATTCAATAAATCCTTATGCTTACACTATCCAAGAACAGATGGACACCACCCAATATATTCTAGAAATCAGGGAAAAGCTTTTTTTTAAGACTGGGGTCTCACCATGTTGCCCAGACTGGAGTACAATGGCATGACCATAGCTCACTGCAGCCTTGATCTCCTGGGCTCAAGCAGTACTCCCACTTCACCCTCCTGAGTAGCTGGGATTACAGGTATGTGCCACCATGCCCAGCTAATTTTTTTTATTATTATTGCATTTTAGGTTTTGGGGTACATGTGAAGAACATGCAAGATTGTTGCATAGGTACACACATGGCAGTGTGATGTGCTGCCTTCCTCCTCATCACCTATATCTGGCATTTCTCCCCATGCTATGTCTCCCCAACTCCCCACCCCTCGCTGTCCCTCCCCTGTTTCCCCCCTACAGACCCCAGTGTGTGATGCTCCCCTCCCTGTGTCCATGTGTTCTCACTGTTCAACACCCACCTATGAGTGAGAATATTCGGTGTTTGATTTTCTATTCTTGTGTCAGTTTGCTGAGAATGATGGTTTCCAGGTTCATCCATGTCCCTACAAAGGACACGAACTCATCATTTTTGATGGCTGCATAGTATTTCATGTTGTATATGTGCCACATTTTCCTTGTCCAGTCTATCATCAATGGGCATTTGGGTTGGTTCCAGGTCTTTGCTATTGTAAACGGTGCTGCAATGAACATTTGTGTGCATGTGTCCTTATAGTAGAACAATTTATAATCCTTTGGATATATACCCAGTAATGGGATTGCTGGGTCAAATGGAATTTCTATGTCTAGGTCCTTGAGGAATCGCGACACTGTCTTCCACAATGGTTGAACTAATTTACACTCCCACCAGCAGTGTAAAAGTGTTCCTATTTCTCCACATCCTCTCCAGCATCTGTTGTCTCCAGATTTTTTAATGATCGCCATTCTAACTGGCATGAGGTGGTATCTCAATGTAGTTTTGATTTGCATTTCTCTAATGACCAGTGATGATGAGCATTTTTTCATATGTTTGTTGGCCTCATGTATGTCTTCTTTTGTAAAGTGTCTGCTCATGTCCTTTGCGCACTTTTGAATGGGCTTGTTTGTTTTTTTCTTGTAAACCAGTTTTAGTTCTTTGTAGATTCTGGATATCAGCCCTTTATCAGATGGGTAGATCGCAAAAATTTTTTTCCATTCTGTTGTTTGCCGATTCACTCTAATGACTGTTTCTTTTGCCGTGCAGAAGCTGTGGAGTTTGATGAGGTCCCATTTGTCTATTTTGGCTTTTGTTGCCAATGCTTTTGGTGTTTTGGTCATGAAGTCCTTGCCTACGCCTATGTACTGAATGGTTTTGCCTAGGTTTTCTTCTAGAGTTTTTATGGTGTTAGGTCTTATGTTTAAGTCTTTAATCTATCTGGAGTTAATTTTAGTGTAAGGTGTCAGGAAGGGGTCCAGTTTCTGCTTTCTGCACATGGCTAGCCAGTTTTGCCAACACCATTTATTAAACAGGGACTCCTTTCCCCACTGTTTGTTTTTGTCAGGTTTGTCAAAGATCAGATGGTTGTAGATGTGTCATGTTGCCTCCAAGGCCTCTGTTCTGTTCCATTGGTCTATATCTCTGTTTTGATACCAGTACCATGCTGTTTTGATTACTGTAGCCTTGCAGTATAGTTCAAAGTCAGGTAGTGTGATGCCTCCAGCTTTGTTCTTTTTGCTTAGAGTGGGCTCTTCGTTCTTTTGCTTAGAGTGGGCTCTCTTTTGGTTCAATATGAAGTATAAGGTGTTTTTTTCCAGTTCTGTGAAGAAGGTCATTGGTAGCTTGATGAGGATAGCATTGAATCTGTAAATTACTTTGGGCAGTATGGCCATTTTCACGATATTGATTCTTCCTGACCATGAGCATGGAATGTTTCTCCATCTGTTTGTGACCTCTCTTATTTTGTTGAGCTGTGGTTTGTAGTTCTCCTTGAAGAGGTCCTTTACATTCTTTGTTAGGTGTAGTCCTAGGTATTTTATTCTCTTTGTAGCAATTGTGAATGGCAGTTTGTTCTTGATTTGGCTCTCTTTAAGTCTGTTATTGGTGTATCGGAATGCTTGTGATTTTTACACAATGATTTTGTATCCTGACACTTTGCCGAAGTTGCTTATCAGTTTCAGGAGATTTTGGGCTGAGGCGATGGGGTCTTCTAGATATACAAACATGTCATCTGCAAATAGAGGCAATTTGATTTCCTCCTTTCCTATTTGAATACCCTTTATTTCGTTTTCTTGCCTGATTGCTCTGGCTAGAACTTCCAATACTTTATTAAATAGGAGTGGTGAGAGAGGGCATTCTTGTCTAGTGCCCTATTTCAAAGGGAATGCTTCCAGTTTTTGCCCATTCAGTATGATATTGGCTGTTGGTTTGTCATAAATAGCTTTTATTATGTTGAGATATGTCCTGTCAATACCTAGTTTATTTAGGGTTTTTAGCATAAAGCACTGTTGAATTTTGTCAAAGGCCTTCTCTGCATCAATTGAGATAATCATGTGGTTTTTGTCTTTGGTTCTTTTTTTTTTTTTTTTTAATTTTTTTTAATTTTTATTGGATTTTAGGTTTTGGGGTACATGAGCAGAGCATGCAAGACAACTGCATAGGTACACACATGGCAGTGTGCTTTGCTTTCCTTCTCCCCTTCACCCACATTTGGCATTTCTCCCCAGGCTATCCCTCCCCACCTCCCCCTCCCACTGGCCCTCCCCTTTTCCCCCCAATAGACCCCAGTGTTTAGTACTCCCCTTTCTGTGTCCATGTGTTCTCATTTTTCATCACCCACCTATGAGTGAGAATATGCGGTGTTTCATTTTCTGTTCTTCTGTCAGTTTGCTGAGGATGATGTTCTCCAGATTCATCCATGTCCCTACAAATGACACGAACTCATCATTTCTGATTGCTGCATAATATTCCATGGTGTATATGTGCCACATTTTTCCAATCCAGTCTATTATCAATGGGCATTTGGGTTGATTCCAGGTCTTTGCTATTGTAAACAGTGCTGCAATGAACATTCGTGTACATGTGTCCTTATAGTAGAACGATTTACAGACTTTTGGATATATACCCAGTAATGGGATTGCTGGGTCAAATGGAATTTCTATTTCTAAGGCCTTGAGGAATCGCCACACTGTCTTCCACAA